GGCTTTGAAGAAAGTTAGTCTTTAAAACAAACTATTGTTTCTAATACTTATGATTTATTCTTTAATGAGAAAGGAAATTTTGAAGAGGAACTTTTCTACTTCCTACAGGCACTTAGCAAGGGCTGTATTAGTTTCCTAGGACTGCCATAACAAAGTACCATAGACTGGGTGGCTTACATCAGAAATGTACTGTCTCACAGTTCTAGAGGCTGAAAATCTGAAATTGAGGTGTTAACAGGGCCATGCTCCCTCTGAAAACCTGTAGGGGAGAATTCTTCCTTGCCCCTTCCAGCTCTGGTGTTGCTGGCAATCCTTAGTGTTCCTCAGCTTATAGATGTCACTCTAATCTCTGCCTCTGTCTTTACATGGCCGTCTTTCCCTGTGGCTGCCTCTCTTCTTCTTATAAGGACACTAGTTATGTTGGAATAGGGCTCCCCCTACTCTAGTATGATCTCATCCTAATTACAGCTGCAATGACCCTATTTTCAAATAAGGTCACAGTCTAAGATTCCAGGTGGTAGGACTTCAACTTATCTTTTTGGAGAATACAATTCAACCCAGCATAGGGCATAAGAAGTATCTGTTGCAGGAGTGACAAAAGGTCCTCGCAGCACGGGCGTTCTCTGTCTCTATAAATTAGACAACCCAACGTGAAGTGCTGTGAAAGCTAGAAGTTACACTTGCAGGAGCACTATGGCTGCATCCCATTACTGTCCGTGGGGACAAGGTCGACTGGTAATATCATTCTGGCTTCTGGCTCTGCCATCAGGTTTTGCTTCACTCAGACCCAGACAGGCTGGGTCCTGACTACTGTTCAATCAATGTATATAATTACATCCTCTAGCCACAGGAGAGCTCTGTACAAGAATATTTCTTCTGGCTGGGTGTGGTGGCTTACACCTGTAATCCTAGCAGTTTGGGAGGCTGAGGTTTATGCAGTGGGGAAGCAGGCTTTGTTTGGCTAAGAATTATATATTTGAGAGCTCCCTAATTCAGGGTGCTTTGAGTAATGGTGGGCAAGAAATGCTATTAAACCAGGCATGCTTGTTGTCTTCTGCTTATGAAAGATCTTGGCTTTATACTGTAATGGCGTCTGGGGATATAAAACGTCATTGGTGGGCAAATGCTTTACAATGACACAATCTTACCCAAAGATTTATTGATGGTTGCATTATGATGGAGAAGTGCTCAAATAGCTATTGCTTTCTGCTATATTGTGTAGGGGCGGGGAAGATATATTGCTATGATTTACCATCCTCTCCTCCACAATTAACAATGAGTTGCTTTTTGGTAAGGAATGGCTGGGCCCTTGTTAAACCATTAGGTGGCGCTGTCTCTGCGGTAAAGCAGGGCAATGCGATAGCTATACTGTTAAAATTATTTCGTCACAATATTACATAGTTACAGTGCTGTAAATCCATGACTGAGGCCATCTGTAAACTAAAAATAATTTCCCAATTGTCTAAGCTGATGCACAGTACAGGAAAAAGCAAGGTCTACCATAACCACAATGAGCGAGTGCTGGGGTCCAACAGGACTTAGATGGCTTATTGTGGTTTCTTCAAGGGATGGAGGCTTCAGGATGGGGAGCCCAGGTCTCAGGTCTACTGACCTTTTAACAGCATCCTACCCTTGGATCACCACCCCCAGCTGGCAGAGCATATTAGTAGTTTGAACAATAGAGCCACACTAAGGTTGAAAGTAAGGCAGCTGGGAGAAGAGGTAGTTTTGCTCAAAGTAACTGTGCCAATAATCGTGGAAGCAGGAGGAAAGAATATTTTTTGATATAGCTTTCTATTTATAAAAGAAAGATATATCAGCGAAACACTCTGAAAACACACATATAATATTTTTCCAAACATTTCAAATCACCCCTCCACTCAATGTGCCTGTTTTGAATATGGTCTACTCTCCTGGTATTTATGTATGTATGATTTTATATGTAAGTAATTAACACGTCTGTATAATATAAGCATGTGTATTTATAATTTACATCTACCTATATAATTTACCAAAATGAGGACCTCCTGTACATTCTGCCTTGCAGTCTGTAATCTATTGCAGTCAATATTATGTTATTGAGTCAATATTATTTAGAACCTGACTATAGGATTGTGAAGCAATCCATCATATGGTCACATCTGGGATACATCTAGGTGATCAGATCACACTGAAGCAGGAACTGTACCACAGAGCTGGTCCCACCTTAAGCAGCACCAGCTTTGATCACCTAGCTGCATCCCAGGTGCCTTAGTCCATTTTCTGTTATTTGGAACAGAATACCTGAAATTGGTTAAGTTATAAAGAAAAGGAATTTATTTCTAACAGTTATGGAGGCTAAGAAGTCCAAGGTCAAGGGGCTGCATATGGTGAGGGCCTTCTTGCTGGTGGGGACTCTGCAGAGTTCTAAGGTGGCTCAGGGTGTCACATGGTGAGGAGCTGAGTGTGCTGTCCCAGGTCTCTCTTCCTCTTCTTATAAAGCCACCAGTCTCACTCCCATAACTCATTGATCCACTAACCCATTAATCCATGAATGTGTTAATCCATTCATGAGGGCCAAGCCCTCATGACCCAACCACCTCTTAAAGACCCCACCACTCAATACTGCCACATTGGGGGTTAAATGTCAACATGAGTTTTGGAGGGGACAAACATTCAAACCATAGCACCAGGGTTGGATGTTTCGGTGGATAGATTTACAATTAGCTGTTTTGTTTTGTTTTGCTTCCTTATCTTTGAGACAAAGAGTTGGACTGCAGTGGCCAAAACAAAGATGAAGACTGAGAAGGAAGGCAAAAACCTTTCTGGTTTGTCCTCCTCCCCTACATCCCCCCACCCCCACCATGCCTTCTATTCCCTCAGCTCCACACAGAGCCCACAGTCCTTGAGTTAATTAGAAATGCTGGAGGAGCATGGAGTGATGGTAGTCGATTACATCTCTCAAGGTTCCATAGAGCATGATGCTGCATGGTATTATGAAATGCATTATTTATTTCAAATACAGCTTGCCTCCAGGCAGGCAATTCAGCCTTTCCACAGTCTGTCCATGCTACTAGTCTAGTCAAGGATGTGAAAGCTAACATTCATATGCTGGATATTCAAGAAAAATTCTACATTCAAGTGTATGCTTGGGGTTGATTGGCAATTTGAGGCTGTATGCCATTTTTAAAAATAAGACACAGGGTTCTCATCCTATTCCTTTTAGAAAATTTCCAGGAAGAAGGAACATTATTCTTTCGTACAATTTGTCTGTTTCTTTGCTTGTTGTCACTCATGTGGCCAACAGAAAATGCGTCATACCCGATGTTCTGTGATTAAAAAGCAATTTCCAACTGTGGTATGAAGACTTCGGGGTGGACTTTGAGCTCATTGAGTCCAGTGTGACAAGGAAGATACATTTGTTAACTGCTTGAAGTTTGTGCAGTAGCTCAAACGCAGAGAAGCAGGCACATGTGCAGGGGAGACCTATTGTTTTGCTTATCTTAGAGTCTTGAAGGGTAGGGCTGGTCAAGAAGGTGAAGATCCCTATGTGAATAGCTTAGGTGAGAGAGATAAGGATAAAGAAGAGTTAAATTGCACTCCATAACAGTGTTGGCATTGCCTCCTGGGGCTTGGGGAAAAAGTGGAGGCTGTGGAAGGGGAAGTGGGAGGAAATGGGTCCTAGCCATATGGTAGAAAAAGGGGCCTGTAGGAGGACATGTGTGGCAATGGGAAGGGAGGATGGGGGCCAGTACTCCACCCATCCAGTGAAAGAGAACCCACCAAGCAAATGCATGAGGTACTTTCAGCTGCCCAGAGGCAGCAGGCTCTGTGCCTGCTGAGAAAGAAAAGTCAAGGTCCCCAGAAGTTGAGTCTGAGGCAGGAATTTGAGTACAAGTAGATTAACTAGGGAAGTGATCCCAGGAAACACTGGAAAGGGGTAAGACCAATCAGGAAGCTGGTACCATAAGCCAGGGGTGAGGTTATGGTGGCATATTCCAAGGTGGTAGCAAGGGAGGGAATGAGATCAGATGAAAAGGGCATCATTTGTAAGAGAAAGCATAAGTAAAACATGCATTTGTTCCCAAAGTGATGTTACAGAGATCCATGTCATAAAAACCTGAATAGCAAGAAGAGAGCCAGGCACAGACACTGTTAGTATGAGATGTGAATTCAGAGAGGGAAGGAGTGGGGTGCCCAGCTTGATCAATGCCTCAGTCCTTCCTCCCATTCCTGTGCTTATGGCAAAGACCCTCTTTGAACTGTCACTCTTTTCCCCATGAAGTTCTGATATGGTTTGCATGTGTGTCTTCTCCAAATCCCATGTTGAAGTGTAATTCCTCATGTCGAAGGTGGGGCCTGGTGGGAGGTGATTGGATCATGGGGGTGGATCCCTCATAAATGACTTGGTGCCATTCCCAGGGGTGATGAGTGAGTTCTTGCCAGTTGTTTCCAGGAGATATGGTTGTTTAAAAGGCTCTGGGAGCTCCCCCTTCTCTCTCTTGCTCCCTCTCACCATGTGACACTGCCAGTTCTCCCTTACCTTCTACCATGATCAGAAGCTTCCTGAAGCCCTCACCAGAAGCAGATGCTGGTGCCATGCTTCTTGTACAGTCTGTAGAACAGTGAGCCAAATAACCTCTTTTCATCATAAATTACCCAGTCTCAGGTGCTCCTTTATAGCAGTGCAAACAGACTAAAACAAGTGTCCATGCCTGTAAGATGCCCACAGCTAGAGCTTGGATTGCAATTTTTTGAGCCAACTAAATCTGTGTTCACTGGATACTGAATTGCAGGGGGTTCCAAAGTCAGCATTGCCTCGTTTACTTCCACACACCTTCCAAAGCTAATTAGTGTCATGGTCTTTGAGACCCAGCTGGTAGGCTTGAGTTTCCCTCTGCCCCTTTCTGAAGGGTGGGGATGAGCTGTTATTTGCTGCTTGCTATTACTATTTTTTATTTTTTCAAGTAAAAGCTGTTCTTAAAGATGACTGATGTGACTTTCCACTTAGTCTTTTGCAGCTTAATCGTTAACGTGTTCAGAAGACCCAGTCTGTATTTGAACTGATTTGGGAAGAAATCTGGCAGCTCCTACAACTAACTAAGACTCATCTTCGTATCCACGTGGACACAAATGCAGTGCCTTTATTGTGCCCAATGGTTGACGAAATGACAAACTATGGAGATAAATCATTATTTTCTAAACTCACCTTTCCTGTTTGGCACTCCATTTACGCATATGGCAACTTTGTCCAAAGGATGAAAGGACAGACCCTCCAGACATGGCTCCTTGCAGGACACAGGACAAGGTAAGAGCTGGGCTGCATTTTGGCCTCCACGGCCCCAGCCCCCAGCTCCCAGCTGCCTTGTGTAACATGGGATCTGCACCACAGCATCCAGCAGGCTGAACCTACACAAAACAGGTATCAATAAATTAAAGCTAGCCAATTATCCAGAGACCTTATTATGCATTCCTGAAAAAGATCTGCCACCGCCATACATATAATTTCATATACATATGAAATTCATATAATATTTTGGCTGGGTGTGGTGGCTCATGCCTATAATCACAGCACTTTGAGAGGCCCAGGCGGGTGGATCACTTGAGGCCAGGAGTTTGAGACTAGCCTGGCCAACATGATGACACCCTGTCTTTATCAAAAAATACAAAAACATTAGCCAGGCATGTTGGCACACACCTGTAGTCCAAGTTACTTGGGAGGCTGAGGCACAAGAATCGCTTGAACCCAGGAGGTGGAGGTTGCAATGAGCCGAGATCATCCCTCTGCACTCCAGCCTGTGCAAGAGAATGAGACGCTGTCTAAAAACAAAAAAAAAGAAAGAAAGAAATTCATATAATATCTTGGAGATGGAACCATCATGAAAATTCTTTTTCTGTTGTTTATAAGTTGTGAGGATCTCCAACTGTGAACTGTCACAGGCAATGACAATATCCTTTGCATTATGTTTGGAAAGACAGTCTCCATGCCCCTCCCCCTAGTCACTGCCTTGGGTCCAGCAGTCCAGGCAGTTGTAGCAGCACTGTCAGTGGCCTCCCCACATGCCCTTGACCCTCACCATTCCCACACATGCAATGGCTTCCTACAGCAAGCGTTTGCAACTCATTGCCTAAGTGCTATCTCTCACTGCAGGAATGTTCTTGGCTGCAGGTGCAGCAAGGAGGATACGCTGCAGGATCTAATGCCTCTGCCTCATCTGTTAGTGGTGACAACTTTGAGAAGTACTCTTTATACTCTCCCAAGTTTCTGCAGGGGAATTAAGTCCCAGTTGTATCCAGCAGCAACCTGCTTGTTACAGGATCTCACTCTGTCAACCAGGCTGGAGTGCAGAGGCGTCATCATACATCAGCAGACTTGAACTCCTGGACTCACCCAATCCTCCTGCCTTAGCCTTCTAAGTAGCTGGGACTACAGACACAAACCATAGGGTCCAGCCCTATAGGGTTCTGTGTGCGCCTCCCTATTGGTGCGGAGGTAAGAAACTGTAGAAATAAAAGACACAGACACAGAGGTAGAGAAAAGAGAGTTAGGGCTCGGGGATCCACTGCGAACCAAAGCGCGGAGACCTGCAATGACACCAAGTGCCTAGACACTCTGACTTTTATTGAGTACAAAGCAGTGGGCAGGGAATGTAGGGTGAGGTAATGGTGGTCGGTGATCGGGTCAGGTAAACCACGTGTCTTGGAGATAGGGGGCCCAATACTTTCAAGTAGTCGAGGAGAAAAGCTAATGCGTCAGCACTCTTCACATACTTGTCAGAAATGTCAAGGACACTACGATTATGTTACTATTATTAATTCTTATCTTTTAAGAAAAAGAGAAACCAGGTGCAGAAGCAGGGCGTGAGAGTAGACATGGAACGTGACCATTGAAGCACAGCATCACATAGAGACAGTTAAGCCCCTGGATGTCTGTGGGCTTCCCTGATAGCCATCAGGTCTTGCCACAAGAGCTTGGAGAAGTGGAGTTTTCTCCTAACTTCCCCAGGAAGGAGATGTCTCCATCATTATGGACATCTCCTTCTCTAGCTAGCTAAACAGCAGGTGCTTTCCCAGCGCTGGTGCCGCTGCACAGCCGAGGCGCCCTCCAGCAGCCCTTATGCGGGTGTGACGGAGGGCTTAGAGCATCCTGCCTTAGGATCACTTTGTTCACAATGTTCCCTCAGTTCCATGCTTCATAGCCTGATAGTCATTAGTAAAATTAAAGGTTATATTGAGTGTATATCTTTATGATTATAAGTAACTATAAGATTATATATGATTATATAAAGGAATAACTATGTGCCTACATTTCTAATTCTTTTCTAAATCAATATTTATATGGGAACAGGCTGAGGCTTCAGACCCTTGCCACAGCACTTGAGGGGATTCCCCCCTACAACACACCACCATTCCAAGCTTATTTTTTTTTTCATAGAGATGGGGTCTCCTTATGTTGCCCAGGCTCAAACTTCTGACTTTAAGCAATCCTCCTGCCTTGACCTCACAAAGTGCTGGGATTGCAGGTGTGGGCCAATATGCCCAGCCAGCAACCTGCTCATTAATACAAATTTATCTGTGTCACCTGTCCACTCCACTGCAAGTTCTTCCTAAGCTCCTCCAAATACCCTACTTGCACTCAGATTCTTGTCTTGATGTCTGAAGCCTAACTCAAACCAGCTGCTTGCTGGGTTAGTTAAATTGATTCCTCCTTTAGATCTTCCTTTAGTTCTCCTTCTTCAGACTCAGGTTAGACAGAAAGACATTTTCACAGGAGAATTTAAAATATGCAAATGACATTCAAGTCCCAGAGTAAGAACTACTGTTATTTCTGCCAACCTAATTACGCTCACACCCACCAAATGCCAGAAAAAGAGAGGCTGTCAAACAAAGATAACAGAAACAAATGCCGAAAAGCAGTCAGCCCTGGCCAGTGTCATCAACTCCCAGATGAATAGGACTCTGCTATCAGGAGCTCTGATCTCCAAAGTAGGGATAGAGAAACAGAGAAATAAGGGTCCTCTTCCCTCTGAAACACCCTCACAGCCTCGCCCAGTGATGTTCCTACTCCCTTCGCATCTCCGTAACAGCCTCTGCCCTACACTAAGCAGTAGGAGTCTTTCAGGGAAATAATGGTATCATGTCCAACTGTTGAACAAGGCTAAAAGCTTGTTGTTGTTGTTGTTGTTGTTTTGAAACAGAGTCTCACGCTGTTGTCCAGGCTGGAGAACGGTGGTGCAATCTCAATTCACTGCAAACTCTGTCTCCTGGGTTCAAGTGATTCTCCTGCCTCAGCCTCCCTAGTAGCTAGGACTACAGGTGAGCACCACCACACACACATGTAGTCCCAGCTACTAGGGAAGCAGGAGAACAGCTAATTTTTGTATTTTTAGTAGAGACGAGGTTTCACTGAGTTGGCTGGGCTGGTCTCGGACTGCTGACCTCAAGTCAAGTGACCCACCTGCCTCAGCCTCCTAGAATGCTGGGATTACAGGTGTGAGGTACCATGCCTGGCTAAGACTCGTTCTTGATTCCTCTTTTTCTCACCACTCTCAGCCATTTCATCAGCAGGCTCCAATGGTTCTGCCTCTAAAATACATCCCAAAGGATTCTGTGCACCCCTTCCAGCCTGACCACCTTAGTTGAAACCATACCCTGCACCAGGGTTACTGCCGCAGCCTCTTAACTGGTCATGTCTGCTTTGACCCTTGTTTCCTTACAGGGGAGCTAAAGGCCAATTTCCCCTGCCTGTGACACATGTAGCCCAACTGCACTGTAAGTCCCACTTCTGCAATATCTGCTGCGTCTACTAACCAACACGCTCTTGGCAGGATTTAGTTTTCTGCAGCAATGGAGAAGATCCCAGTACCTTAACCCCAACTTCATGAGGGTCAAGTTGGCCTACTTGTGGCAGCAACTCCCTGGGTGTCTCCTCAGAAGGGAGTGTTTGGCCCCAGAGCCAGCCATACAGGCAGCAGCTCCCTGACAGTGGAGGAGGTGGCAGCTCTCTTAATGGCAAATTCTGCAGTGTCCCTCTGCAAATTATTTCCGGAGCTCAGCCTAGAGTCTCATTCTCTAGTTTCTCCAATCATTTTGCAAGCACCTAATTCTCTATATAAATCCCTTTCTGCTTGCCCCAACTGGAAGAATTGCTACCTATAGCCAGCTCTGATGGTCACCACTGCCGTGTCTAAAGGGAATTACAAAGATTGCATGAGTGTGTATTTGACAGCATGTTTAATAAGCCCTTCAAAAAGGAGATTAAAGTTATGTCTATCACTCTCCCCATAACCATGGGAAAATATATCCAAGAACTTAGTGCTTCCCGGGGGGTCTCCTTACTTATCCCTGGTTCTTGCCCTTGTTTCCAACCTGAATGCAGCCCCTGCCTCCTCATCTTTGTTGGGGAATCCCCATGCACCTTCTGGGAATCCTGGCCCTACCCAGAGTGCCTGCTGTCACCCAGGGGGCCATTTCTCTTCCCCCAGGATTATGCCCAGTGGCTCCCATGTGGCATTCCACAAAAGCATCAGCCACTCCGAGATTGTCCAAACAATAGGAAGAAAGGAGTTTGAAGCACCAAAGTCCCACCAAGTGGTCCTATGTGTGCTTGTGTTCCTCACAAGCTCTTCCCCCCAGGAGGAGTTGCAGAGATGCCTGTTCATGTTTAATTTTCCAGTCAGCTGCATATTTCCCACAGACATCCATAAATTCTCAAAGACAACACCCACAAAGAAGAGGTGACATAGTTCTCCAGCTGCCTGATTTATTTTCAAGCCCACCTATCCATAAGCTAGAAATTCACAATTCCACGAAAGATTATGACAGTTCCTTTCCTTAAATCCCCATTTCCAAATTGAGACCCCTTGAACCCATAGGCTAAATAAAGGGTTTATTGCTAAGCCACACACTTGCTTATAGCTGTTCCACGGCTGCACAGACCAGAAACACGTTCTACAGTGACCTCTTGTAAGGAGTGGAATAAACTCCTGGCTACCTCACCTTGGAATCTCTGTCTTGTGGGTAAAAGGAGGATTTTAGTCTTTTAGTGATTACCATATTGAATATACAAGTCCAGGAATCTTAATTTATTTTTTAAAATAACAATAATGCCTTTAGCAAAGATGTTGCAGCAGAAATGGCACTAAGTGCTCACTGGTTCTGTTTGTTTCTAAGAGGACTCAAATCCCTATCCCTAAAACATCAGTGAA